TTGGGAGGCTGCGCGCGCTGAGCCAATGAGACGTTTGCTTATTGGCCCGTCGTCTCCAATCCGTCTCCGAGCTGCTCCGAGAACCTACTTCCCGCCGCCGGAGACGGCCCGGCTGGGCGTGCGCATGCGCACCGGGCCCCGCCCGCCAGGAGGCGAGCGCCCAGGTACTCGGTGCGCGCGGCGACGCCAGCATCCGGGGCTTTGGCGTGGGCCGCGCCCCTCTGACCTGCGCGGTCGCTCCGACCTCTGCGTTGGGGCCCTGCTCAGCCTAGGCCTGTGTTCATGGCTCCAGTCGCCGAGAGGCCTCGCTCACCGCCGCCACTGCAGCCCCACTGCACGCCTGAGTTCAGGCCGTGCCGTTTTTGAGGGCTCTCACGTGTGTCCTTCCTCAAGCGCCGAGTCCTCCATGCAAAGACGAGGACGGGCCCTCCTCCCTGGTCGCCCTCTCTCACCGAGACCCGCTGCCGGTCCGGCCGGGCCTCCTGAGCATCCTGCGACAGGGTACTGGCGATGGCGGGGCCACCCTCCCTCGAAACCCTAGATACACTGCAGACTGCTAGCCGGTAAGCTCACCGCGGCTGTGGCCCTCCGGCCAGGCTCAGACCACATCCCCGTCCCCGTCTTGGGGACAGGCGGTGTGCGCCGACCGTTCAGGGATTTATCGATGCTCGGTTCTTACCGTGTAAAACCTGAGTGCGCGCAGGGCACGGCCCGTCACCCGCCCCGCCATCCGCAGGGCCTTGTCTTCCCAATGTGAGTAAACTCAGATCTGCTGGACCTCTCGGTGTGTTTTTTGGGATCACTAACACAGTGGGCAAGCCCTCTCAGATTCGGAACCACCCAGGACAGTCCCACTGACAGAACCCCAGATGCCCACCTGCACCCCCCCTCTGCACACACCCACACTCTTACCTGCTGCTGTCACTCATTCCTCATCCTGCTCCAGGGAGTCCAGTGTATTCGGGACCCTGGGAGAAACCGGGTCCATCTGTTCCTCTTGCCCCAGACCCACAAGCCCCAACACACCACGAGTATGGCCACAAGGTCAGACCCTCACTGAACTTTCCATCGTTTTTCTGAATTTCTGCCCGAAAGCTCTTATTTATTTAAAGTTTGTGTAGTTCCTTCACATTGCTGCAGGGCTGCCTCACCAGGGCTGTGCAGTGCTGAACTAGGTGGGAAGGTCCCAGGATCTTACCCTGGGGTCTCCTTGCACATGCCCTGCCTGGCTAAGGCTGACCGTGGATTGCAGCATTAAGATTATTTTGGGCGACCAGCAGATGGCGTAATGGTTACATTGCTGTACTTCCACGTAGGTGACTAAGGTTCAAGTCCCAGACCCTATAGCTTAAAACTCACACCAGGTACTTGTGTGTGTGCGCCCAAGATCCCAAGAGGAGAATAAAGAAGGGATTGGGGGTGGGCATCCCCACTGAAGGAGGGTGATTTCTCGCTTTCTGTCTCTGTCTCGCTGGCAAGCACATGTGCGTTGTAGCAAAAATCTCTCTTAAAAAAAATTTCTTTTGGAAACTGGTCCCATCACTTAGTGGTTAAGGGACCTAAATCTACATGGCTAACCACATGGTTCCAGTCCAAACTTGACAACTTGAAAAACATGCTGGACACATGTGTGGGCACGCCCCAAATCCCAAGATGATAGAGAAATGGAGAAGGGGATGCAGCAAGACCCTGACTCACTAGGGGTGATTTCTCCCTTTTTCTTTGTTTCTGACATGAACACATGCCCTCCGAAAATTAAAAATAAAGAAAAAGGAAAAGAAGACTATAAGGATTATTCTCCCACCCCACTCTTTCTCTTTGTAATAGAGAAAAAAATTTTAAAGCATTAAAATAAAGGGGGAGTCCAGCAGTTGGCATGGTGGTTAAGGTGCTAGACTCTCACATGGCTGACCACAGTGTGAGTCCCAAACCTGGTGGCTTGCTTTCTCTCTTCTGTCTCTGTGTCTTGCAGTGGTCAAATATTAAAAAATAATAATAATAAATAAAATAAATAAATCATCCTTTTTAAAAATGTCCCTGAATCTCTATCTCAGAATTTTACTAGATGTGGGAACAGCAGGTGGCGCGGTGGTTAAGGTACTGGATACTCCCACAGGCTGAACACAGCTCAAGTCCTGGACCTGGTGGCTTGCTTTCTCACTTTCCTTCTCTCTCTCTCTGTCTCTCTCTGGTCAAATTAAAATAAATGAATGAATAAATAAAATTGAATACATAATTACAAAACAATCTTTAAAAAATAATTTTACTAGATGCTACTCAATCGCAATTTCTCCTGATTGATGGCCCTTCTTAGATTTAGATGGAACCATTCTGGCCCATACAATAAGGATATATATTGTGCTTCCAAGCACAGCTCCTCAAGTGGCCATACGAGTTCTAAGTTCTCTCTTTCCTCTCTTCTCAGTTGGAAGCAAACGCCCCTTGAGATGGTGGAACCGTACTGTGAAAAGAGCACAGACCCCTCTGTTTACTGCTTGGGGGCTAGGTGTCCTGGAGCATTTGCTCTAGGTGATAGACAAGCAAGAAATAAACGTTTATCAGGACCAGCAATGGCGTAACAGTTACTTCTCTGGACTCCCACACTGCCAACCACAGTTAGAGTCCCAGACCTGGTGACTTGAAACTCATGCCAGGTGCAGTGTGTGCGTGCCTAAAATCCTGAGAAGAGAATGGAGGAGAAGGGATTGCTGTGTGGCCATGCCCCTGGGGCATGAGTTCTCACTTTCTATCCTCTGGTGAACACACCCAATAACAAAAAATCTTTCTTAAAAAACAGAATAAGAAACATGGGGCCGGCAGGTAGCATGGTGGTTAAAAGCACTGGATTCCCACATGGTCTACTGCGGTTCGAGTCCCAGACCTGGTGGCTTGCTTTCTCACTTTCCCTTTCTATCTCTCTCTCTCTCTCTCTCTCTGTCTCTCTCTGGTCAAATTAAAAAATAATAATAGCAAATAGAATGAAATAAATAATTTTAAAGAAAAATAAAGAAAAAAAATTTTGTTACGTGTTTTTTTTTTTAGTTAGATTTTTGCTATAGGCACAAGCACTGCTGGAGACGCATAGAAACAGAGAGTGAGAGATCCCCACCCCCCAGGAGGAATGGCCACGCCACAGTCGCTTCTCCACTCTCCTATCACGATTTTGGGCTCACATGCACATGCGCCAGCCGTGAGTTTCAAGCCTCTAGGTCCAGGACTTGAACCACTGTTGGCCATGTGGGAATCCAATGAAGTAACCATTACGCCATCTGCTGGTTCCAACATATAAAGTATCTTGATATTCTTTTTTTTTTAAGACTTATTTATTTATTTTTACTTTGCTATGGGGCATGTGTGCTCACCAAGGAGAAACGGAGAGAGAGAAAAAGAAAGAAAGCAAGCTACTAGGTCCAGAACTCAAACCATGGTCAGCCATATGGGAGTCCAGAACCTTCACCACCACACCATCTGCTGGCCCCAATATCCTGATTTTCTTACACACAAATTGTTCTCCATGAGTGCTGTCCCCATTCCAGTAGCAGCATCTTCAGCGGACATTGTTGTGTGCCCAGCCAGCACCCGCTCCCCAGGGCCAGCTCAGAGAAGTGCGTGTGTCAGCCATGCAGAGCACAGGTCCTGCACTCACAAAGGCCCTGTGTTTGCGTTAGTGCCCTGCTATAGCCATCTTGAAATTCTTTTTTTAATGAAGAATTATTTTATTGAAATTGATTTATCTATTTTTAATTTGACCAGAGAGGGACAGAGTGAGAGAGAGAGAGAAAATGAGAAAGAAAGCCTCCAGGTCCAGGACTCAAACCATAGTCAGCCATGTGGGAGTCCAACGCCCTTAAACACCACGCCATCTGCTGGTCCCTATTTACTTATTTATTTATTTATTTTAATTTGACCAGAGAGTGACAAAGTGAGAAAGAGAGGGGGGACGAAATGAGAAAAGCAAGCAGAGCCGCTAGGTCCAGGACTTGAACCGCAGTCAGCCATGTGGGAGTCCAGTGCCCTTACCCACCACACCACCTGCTGGCCCCCCATCTTGAAATGTTTAGTCATTTGATTTTGAACTCACAGATTAGCAGGGACGATGGAGCATGCACATGAGCAAGGGCATGCCTGCAGCACGTGTGTCCCCTGCCATCTGCCACACCGGCTGCATTCGTGGCACCCTGTGAAAACAGTTTTGGCGAATGCATGGCTCATGGAAGTGCAGCACGAGGCCAGGCGGGAACAAGATGAGCACGCGGGCTGGCGCTGGTGGCCTGGGACTGCACTGCTCCAGAGAGAATAAGGGTCAGAGACCATGGCTTAACTCGCCGACGTAGTGCGCCTGACCCACCAGGCACGTGGGCGAGCGCCAGGACCCAGGGGGCCGGAGGGCTGGAGGCGGGGAACGCAGCATGGCCAGACCCTG